GTTCAGAACCTTTTTCAATCAACAAGTGACCAGAGGCAAAAACCTGATTCCAGCTTGGAGCTGAACCCAGCCACTTCGAGATAAGTCCAGTTGTACCCACAAGGGACCGCTCTGAAACCAGCGACGCCGCTGGCACAGCTCGATCAAGCTCCGGTACCCCGGGACAACGATAAGACATCTGAATGGTAGGATAGACGTAATTTTCTCTGTTATCCGGTGGTGGCTCAGCTGAGGTGTTGAAAACTTCTGGATCGTTAAGTTGGTAGTAAAGAAGGTTTGGTGAGCTTAATTCATGCATAATCCACATCCCRTTTTATTGATGAATTAACAACTTCCTTTTATTAACCTTCAAGCTTCTTATAATCTTTATGAGTGTAGATTAGTTAAGTGACTCAGGTGAAGGATACTAGCTTATTGTGATTGACTTTAACGTTTATTATTAGACTTAAGGTTTGATGATAATTGTCTCTGTCTGCCCAAATAATCTGTATTGTCATCTCTGAATCATTTAATATAGGGTATATTATGAAATTCCGTTGTCTGTGCGTCATTTATTGGGTTATGTCTTGAAAATGATAGAATTCACAACTCAGTATCTGAGACTGATTTAAAATCTATGAATTAATTCCTGAAAATTCAGGTGGTGCCCCTTTGTTWTGCTAATAATTACGAGGTATTTATGATATAGCATTGTCCATAACATCGACAAACAGCATATCCCCACAAAAATATCTAATTTAAATTATTAAAGAAATATGAAATTGTTTAATCTGTATTTGTAAGAGTTACTGTTTGAGGAGTTGAATTTTTTGTTTTGTTTTATTATTTGATTATTATTGTTTGAATTATTATTTTTTTGAAAATAGGGGCAGACATTATAAGATTTTTTTCTTCTTCTGCTACCTTTCATTTTTATTTGATTTGTATTGTTTTGTTGTATGTGAATGTGTATTTTTTTTCAATGAAACGATTAGATAAAAAAAAACTGTACCTTCTTGTGGTAACACATCGATCCTATCGGTCCCTGTGGTGTGGATTTCCACTTTGATGTTAACGCCGCTGATGTGGGAATAAAACAAACAACGTTAGGGTACAAGCTAAGTTTAGATTAATGTAAAAAGTAATTCAGAACAAAAAGTGAAACAGCTGGAAACTCTTGTATCTCAACCAGAAAGATAATCTAAGAGTTGACTGCTTTAATCAAAAAAAATCTTTTAATTTTAATTTACAGTTTGGATAAAATGACTCATTTGTATTAGGTTTTAGTGTTGAAATCTAATGTTAATACATGTTAAAGACCAACTTTACACACTGATTCTCTTAATAAATGACATCACCAACCTTCTTGAGTGACGTGTTCATGCTCAGACTATGTGTTAAAGGATATTTTCAGCTACTACTGCAACAAATTTCAAATCAGTATCTGCAAAACTGAATTATTTCTATTTTAGTGATTTTTAAATACAGATACTGTAACTGTGAGGGTCATCCTAAACTGGACTGACTCCAAAAGTTAATCACTTGTAGATGTACATTCAGTGATTAGGTTCTGATATTTTTTAAATCATCCAATAGTTTATGAGATATTTTGCTAACTGACAAGAATTCAAGATTCCAGCAAGCAAAGCCAAAAGTTTACACACAGATCTTTGCATGATCAGTTAYTGCTCAGTGCGTTTTAGAGGTGGTTAGTCTCAGCAATTACTAATTCAAATTTTAGCTCAATATCTGCAAAAATGTCTGAATTATGGCCTCTTTTGTGTTTTTTCTTAAGTAGTTTGGCTGTGGAGGCCATCTTTATTTAGGTTGGCTCCAACGATGAATCGGTTGTGGATGTCCTGAAGGGTTCGTTAAAATCTGTCAGGTGAAGGATAGTGACGAGCTACATCTAATGGCCAGAACTCTGCAGTTTTCACTCATTTACAGGCCAGCGATCACTCTTTCAGAGATGAGGATGTTCTCATTCTTAATAGAGAGGAACGTTGGTTTGAGAGAGGAGTAAAAGAAGCCATTTTTGTGAAGAAAGACCGTCCATCATTAAACAGAGMTGGAGGCCTCCYTTTTCAGTTGTCCCCCTCCTACAGTGCMGCTATWGCCAGTATCACTCCAKCCCCTGTTAACAATAYGTGTTAATTAGGTGTCAACAATAGCCATGTGATGTGAGTATCAGTCACATGGAGGCAGGGCTTAAAAGCCTGAATTTTGCCTGAAACTCTCAGACTGAAGAAGTCTCTTGGAGGAGAGACGAAACGTTTCATTAGAGAAGAACCCGTCCAGAAGACCTATACAATTTTTTTTCTTTTTGAAGGATAGTGATATTTATGGACAGATAAAAGAACACACACACGATGAAGTCTACAAACCTCTGGAAGAGCAGCGCCTCCTTGTTGGTGAGGAGGTGTTTTAAATAGCCTCCTTTGGCGTGATTAATCCTGTTGTCACAGCTCAGCAACTTGGGCTTGTAGCAGTACCAGGGCTCTCCAGTGTACAGGTCCGTGTAGTTGCACAGGGGCTGCTGGTCGGAGGGTAAACACATGTTGCACAAGGTGGTCTCTGACAAGAAGCCGAGGCGGAACAGGCTCTTAAAGAACACCCTATCGGGCCGCTCCTCACGCAGCTGCTTCAGCACAGCCACAGCCTCGCTGGAGTGCACCAGCGTCACCTCCACCCGCGCAGGCCCCGCCCACAGCAGCGGGAACAGCGCCGAGTAGATCCCGTTCCCGTGGTCCACCACCGTCCCTGCGACACCCGCTCTCAGCTCCGGAGAGTGCAGCCTGGCTAAGAGGAAGTCCCCGCCGTAGCGCTTGGGACGACCCTGGAAGTCGTGGATTTGGACGAGGGCCTCCAGCTGGTCCCCCAGGCGCCACTCTCTCCTCCCCTTATTGGGCAGGATGGTGAACAGGCTGTGGACAGGGTCGCTCGTCTGGCGCAGGCTGAGCGACGCCAAGCGAGGGGACGGCGGCCCCGGCCAGCTGATGGAGTCCAGCAGGTAGCGCTCCTCCAGTTCATCTTCGGGGGACAGCTTCTGGCCCAGGTGGGCGCAGAAGGTGCGGTTGTGATTGAAGGTGGGAAGACCCACCGCCAAGAAGGAGGAGTGGATCCTGCTCTGTAGCTGATGGAGGGCTGAAACCGTGTGGCAGTTCCAGTTCTGAGGAGACAAAATGGAGCGAAGACGTAAAAGTCGTTCATATATTCAGACGTGGCATCCTGTGGAAACCTAATCCAGGGGGGTCAAACTCCTTTTCGCTGAGGGCCACATGAGCATTAGGGTGGCCCTCAAAGGYCCAGTTGTTATTAACTTTAACGTTTCATGTTTTACTTCAAATGAACACAGTCATGTTCCTCATCTCGTTGCTACAGCTGAGCACTGTTAACAAACCATAACTGAGCTCTATGTGGTATTTCCTGCATAGCAGCGTTCTGACTGATCAATACTAATATTGAACAAAAATAATAATAATTAGGTGCTTCAAAATTTAAATAAGTTAAACCTTGATGAAAATGCAAATAGAGTGGGCATGTATGTGATCAGCGGACAATCAAAGCTGCTGTGAGAAAAACACTGAAAAGTACTACGTGTACGACTGACTGTGAAAGAAATAATACAGAAATACTATTAAAAGTAAAAGTGCGAGTTTTACTCATTGTTGAATTGTTGCGTTCTGAACTCTTCCACTTTATCACAAAGAACTAGAACTCCCACTAGAGGGGGTGTTCCAGTTTGAATTTACCCAATTCTCCCACTTCCTACAACTGCAGCAAAAGTAGCTGGCAAAAATGCAGTGAAATGGAAATTTTTACACGCCAAATTTTGCTAGCTGAAACCTACTTTTGAACCCCGTGCACCTCCACCTAGTGGTGGGATGCTGTCATTTTGTGGATAAAATGCATTATGGGAGMTGTGTAGTTTATYGTCAATGCTGTCTTTAAAGCAGCTTATTTTAAGACATTAATACATCTTTGAAGCTCTCGCGGGTCACATAAAATGCCACAGAAGGCCACATTTGGCRAGCAGACCTTGACYTGTGTGATCTAAGCAAACAGGTTCCATTGTGTAAAWTATAAAACTCTGACTATGTTTATAGAAGGACATTTAAGACAGCTACTAATATCTTAAATATGAAACATTGGCAGCTCACAGGAGAAAAGAAACTATCAGAAAACAAGTCAACAAAATAATGTGCACAACCAAGAATATGGCTCTACTACATGTATGAATGAATGTAAGCTATGATTGTTAAAAAATGACCTGCAGAAATGGGGTTCGAAACGCAGCAAACTATATATTTTCTTTGAGTCACCAACAAGCCTCCAGCAGCTGAAGCCCAATGTGACCGTATGACATACAGTACAAGTCATTTTAGCATCAAAAGACTCCTTAACTCAAACACAAAGAATCAACCAATGTTGTGTCCACACAGATAATATAAACGGGGCTGCTGTGGCTGAGGAGTCGTCCTCCAATGTGAAGGTTGGCGGTTCAATTCCCCTGCTTTTCAGTCAGATGTTGAAGTGTCCCTGGGCAAGACACTGAACCCCCACTGCTCCTGAGTGTCCCATCAGTGTATGAATGTGKTTTAAAGCACTGACTAGTCTCTATAGGATGATTGATATAGATTAGCTTTGTAYAGAGATGTAGTAGAGTGCTTTGTGAGTGGGTAAATGAAGGCCAAGTGTTGTAAAGCACTTTGAGTATCCTGGTTGGACAGAAAGGTGCTWGGTAAGTACAGACTGTTTAAACAATTAATATTAAAATGCATCTTTGAGCACTGTTATGAGCAGTTTTTTTTACTTTGATTGTAGAATTTGGTGCTGATATGGAAGAACTCTGTTTACAGGTTTATCTATATTTTACCGCTCACCTATCATCATGAGATAATCATAACCCATAATCTGTTTTTCATTTGACTTGACTTTCAGATTAGTGGACAGTTTTACTTCCTGTTTTTTTATTCTCACATCTAGTTTAGGTTTGAATCAGTGGATGTGCAGCTTCTCATAAATACTTTCCTGAGTATATTGAGGGCAAGTTTTCAGTTAGACATCGTCAGTGTTGTATAAAGTACCACAAAGTGATACTTGAGTAAAAGTGCAATTATCTTACCAAAAAATAACTTTGGTAAAAGTTAATCTCCTTTAGGAATATTACTTAAGTAAAAGTCTTAAAGTATCTAATATTTTTTGTACTTAAGTATTAAAAGTAAAAGTACTGATTTAAAATGAGCAGTTAGATTTTCTGTAATGACA